ATTGAGTTTTGAATAAAGAAAAAACATTTGTTTAAATTTTCTCCAGCTGCTGCAGTCATTGGCTAGGACTATTAAGGTATGTGAGCTTCTCGGTCAGCCGTTTAGGGGCAAAAAAACCTTGTGATTGTTGCCATCACTTTGTGTATTTCTATATTTAATGAAAAATACTTGTTCTGCAAACCTGCTTTTCTGAGGAATTATTGAAAAATCAATCCAATGCCTAGAAGCTAAAAAACAAAGTTATTTGCCTCAGATTCCACAGATCACAAAATGATGTGGAAGAAAAACATCCTGACAAAACCTCAACCTGACACACTACCTGCAGTCTTTCCATGAACAGAAGAAAAAGTTGACACTTTTAAAAGTTAACCACAAAGTTAAAAGTTAACCACATAGACAAGAACAAATTCCAAACCACATTTTTAAGACCTCAAGATTTTCTTTGCTTTTAAACATTGCGTTTTGTTTCTCATTTTACATTTTTTGTTACGAAAATGATAAACAACGGGATTTTGCACAAAGCAACATACACAGGTGTCAACCTAGGCACAATCTGCTGTTCTGTGAGAGATTACTAATCTTCTTCCTACTACATGCACTGGTAAAAATAAACTTAGTACCATGTGAAATAACACGAAACGTGAATGTGAGTGCATATGGTGTCACAAACTTTGTTTACATACCAGGTAGCAGGTGAACTACAGCAGATTAGTAGATCAAACCATTTAATACCAATGCTCTTTACATCTTCCATTAGGCGTTATTTGAGGTTTATTTTAGACTAGACTTAGCTTTGTTCACTGGACCCAAAATGCAGTTCAAAGTTTTCTGATGGAAAGCTATCCTACAGATCTTTGCTCCCTTGACTCAAGAGTCTTCTCCTCTAGGAAGTATCACGCTGTTCATTTCATCTGTTTCGTGCAGATGACTAGCACACATCGCCAGCAGGCTTCACCATAAAGTTTCTATATTCTCTATCTTCCATATTTCTGGTCACAGAACCAGAAACAGACTAGTGCCTTCTTGGCAAGAAGGGACAGGATCATTCATTATGTTCTCAATGTCAATAAGCATCATGAGAGATGCTGCCTACCGCTGCACCCCACACCGTAAGGTACACTCTGACAATGGTGCAGTACAGGCCTAATTTAACTCTGCTTTTACTGAATGCATAATGGAACCACAATGTACACTTGGTCATCTGAAAGACACTGGGCTACGCGGGACAAACACGGCAAATGTTCCCAATACCTTCCAAATTCAGGGCATCACTTTTAGTCTGAACCATCTGTGAGGACATCTTTGAGACCTTCCTTCAGACTGAAACACTGAGCATTGCTTCTGCAGTACCTGTATGCTCAGTTCTCTGCGCTCTTTGCCATAGGTGGGGCATCCAGAAATGCACTTGTGTCAGGACTTTGTCTGCTCCTTCACTGAAGACAGTCATCAACCCAGAGAGCATTCAGAAGTGCATGGAGTGGCATGGGAGGAGTACCACTGGACGTCAGTGTCTTTCAATCTGGCAAACATTATGCCATGATTGGGAACTGATTCCCAATACTTCCCTCTGTCCTCAGTTTTCTCCTCCTCCACACTTGTGTGCTTCACACGCTCCCTTGCTGCATTCAGTCCATTTCATTTTGGGTAAACCTGGCTAATCCAACTATGCCTTACTCCAGCCCGCAGTGCCCTTCCCTTTACCACCTTTCCTCAGTGAGACTTGAGGCAGAGAAAGAGACAATATATTGCCAACAACCACTACCTTAACCACTGCATTTCAAAGAAATGGTATCATCACGAATGGTATTTGTTGTATGAGCAGCTAACTGCAGGGCAGGGGCGGGATCTGCCATGTAGCCAGAAGTACCAGCACCACTACCACCACAAGGCGGGTCCTTTATACACTGCATTTGAGGAAAGGAAGAGGCAGTGTGGCTGGGGTTTTGTGCAGAAGCCTAGGGGGGCTGTGTTATCAAGGCATGCCATGTCCAGGACTTACTTGGTTGCCAGGACTATGCCTGGCACACAGGCAGAGCTGGGACAGGGCAAGTGGTCTCTGATGCAACTTGCTGCTCCACAGAACTTCCCTTACAGCTCACAGCCCCTGGGGAATTGTCTCTCAAGGCACAGCAGCTCTTGCAGTCAACCCAGAGACTTACACCACCTCTCCACAGCTCTGCGATCAGTGCCCTAATTCTACCAGAAACCTCCTAAACACAGTCCCACCCTCAATACCTGTATAGGAAAAGAGTACACACACTTACTCAGGCGGACATCCAGACCACTGATTTTGCAGTTCTCATTTCCTGCTGTGGCAGAATGTGCCAAAGGGATGTTCCCGCGTGTTGTCTTGCGGGGATCCTCTGGGGGTTGCAAGCATGAGATGCGTGCAGTACTGTAGGCAATGCTTTTCCCTGGACTTTTATCCCAGACTGTTGGTCCTGGGACTAAGGGTGTGGATGTCCTCATCAGCAGTGGGCTTGCAGAGTGCTCTCTCCTCCTCTGACAACCTGCTCAAGATCTCTGTGGTAGCAGCACATGCACCATGCATGTTTTACCCACATCATGAAGAACATGGTCTTCATCTACTTGAATGAATGCAACACTGCTTGTCAGTCCTCTCCCACTTGGTTGCAGGCTTGACATTAGCAACAGGGTGGTGCATCTGCTGGAGAAGCTTTTAGGCCTATCAGAGCACACGCTGTCAAGCTCCAGGTTGCCCCTTGCTCAATATTCTGGAAGGCCAATGCAATGGTTGTCACGATTGCAAACGGCAACAGTAGGAAAGGAGGAATTATTTTAATAATGTTATAAGAAAGATGTTGTTCAAAAAGGAGGAACAGCAAAAGAAATAGGGCTGGTCAAGAAGATAGAAGCCAAAGCTTGGAAGAAATAAAGGAGCAGCTGAAAGTCAGAACAAGCAAACATCTGGTGGTCATTAGCAAATATGAAGTCACACATAGCATTTGGCCTTTTTGCATAGCACTAGAAGTACTCCAGAATAAGTTGGGAGCTCTTGACAGTTTTAAAGCTTTCTGTTGGCACATGTACTTTTCACTTGCTCTGGAGAACTTCACAGCAGTGGAGTCCCACTCATTGGATCCAACCCTTTTATCCCAAGTGGCAAAGCTTCTATCTTAGATTTCTCTGTAAAAATGTCATTCATATGTTTAAAACGACTCTGTGAACCAAATCAACAAGCAAGAACAATGAGAGGACTTATTTCAGAACTGCACTATTGCCGTGATTCGATGTAGACGAACCATGTAGAACCATGTAGACGCACCCCTAATCACCATTGCTTTTCTGGACTTGAGGATTCTTGACCTGCTTAAGGAGGCGTCTTCTGCTTGTGAGAATCTCACTTATAAGTTTATAGAATGAACTTCAAGCAGTAAAGTATACTTCTAAATTCCAAAACAGGATGAAGGAAGCCATAGTCAGTTTTGTAGTGTTTGACACAGTGGCATCCAAACAATTTTGGAGGCAACCCCACATTACTACAACTGCCCATGCTTCTTCAGTATCCCCAGGATTCAGAAACATATTTACTCCAAATTCAGGCACAATTCCAGCACCAGCTACCCACCAACAGCAGTGTATAAATTCATAACAGCAAAGCACATCTCAACCAATACCAACTTAACTGGTTGTGCAAACACCAAAAGATTGTTCTGATAATGCTTGTTCCTGAAAACAGTAACAATCCATTTGTTCTAGTATGGTGTTCACCACTTGTATGATGTATTAGCAGGAAGATGGAGAAAGTTTAATCATAATATACATTTCCTTATGAAGAACTTCTGCACTTACGATGGTCTGTAAACCAGTATATTCCCACCATCTCATGCTGACTCCCCTATTCCACAAACACTGGGTACAGATGGTGCTCTAACAACTGCTACATTCACAATGTCATCAAAGCTTGTTTCATATGCTTTTTCATGTCCTCATTATCCAGTACATTCACTATACTTTTGCAGTATTTGTATGCTCTGCCATGAGTTACCATTGGATTTCCTTTAGTGGTTCACACCACTACAAATCAACGGAGGTAATCAGCATGCCACGACAGCAGAGCTAAAACAATTTCTGTCTCTAGAACCATTGAAAAAGAACAGTTACGAGGTGAGCTTCGCTCTGCACAGTGTTGGAGAAGCTGGGGTATATGCAAAATTCCTAGTATCAGGTGAATGCAGGGAACGAAGTCTCAGCGCATTTAAGAGCTAATAATGTCGGTACTTCTACACAAAATGTCTTCTGCTATCACTGGTGGATACTGGATTCACTCCCTGAAGAATAAAGAAGATGGTTCAAGCAACACTGTATCTTCTTGCCTGGTGATTAGAGAATCAACAATAAATTCTGATAAAATAACAAGATAAGGTAGTGTGATTGTTTTTTGAGCACCAAAGTTAGGATGCAGCAGGCCACCCTAATTGGACTAATCTCCTCTCCACTCCACTGAGTTTCATCCCCCAAGGAGAAGGACCAAGCCCCGAATGTCATCTGAGTCTTGGCTTCAGGTGCCTTGAGTGGTAGTGGGGGGGAAGAAGAGACAAGTCTCAAGAGTTCCGGCTCCAACCATAGAGTTTCAAATTGCCTCCAACTCAGATCCAGTAAGAATCTGTCATCTCCAGGCATGCAAAACACAACATCCTCTCCTAGATCTGTACTAAAGGTAGTCTAATGGCCTGTGGCTGAAGGTCAGCAACACAGGTACACTCAAAATCTGCCATTTCTAGGTCTGTTGTTTTGAAGCTCCTTTTCCCGCTGACCATCACCATTCACACAGATGAAGTAGACAAGTTCAAAGGATAGTGCAGCAAGTTTTCCTTAAGAATTACTGTAATAGATGGGAGAGTATAAACACTGAAAATATACACACAATTTAAATATATATGGCATGAAGAATGGACAGGCATAAACAGGATCATCAGGATCATCAACTGGAGGAGATGCTGCCTTTTCAAATGCTGGCTTTTTAGAATGGATCATACCTCATACAAAACCGTAGTATTCCCATGAAGAAGAGGCCCATAGCAAATGTAGGAATGACCAACAACCCAGCCTAAATCAGAAGCTGCCCACCACACCTAAAATGAAATAAAACCATAAATATAGTGGGGAGTTTTTAAGAGAAGTTAAAAACAATTTACATGACATTTAAACAGAATTACCTCACCAGGTTTGAGTCCATATACAGCTGACATTGTCCAGTTCAGCATAACTGCATAGCCACCTGTTGGTCTGACAACACCCTAAATGAGAAAATTTGAATATTTAAGATTGTTTGAAGGATGCAATGATATTCCTGTCTTCAATGAAATTTTGGGGTTTTAGCAGTAATAGGCTTAAAGTTGTCCAATTCCAACACTCCTCACTTAAGAAAAGGATCCATTTGGACAAGCACATGCTTGTGCTGGCATTGCCATGTAAGAAGTAATTTTGGGAAACAAACAAACAAGCAAACAAACATAGGATAAAACAAACATAAAAAACCAACCCAAGGCCTAGATGACAATAGTTTTCAGGAGATAACTAACAAAGACTAGAATTCTCTCCTTAAAGTCGGATATGCAAACACTTAGTCAACATATGCTGACAAAAATAAAAGATTGAGTATTTACTTCACTTAAACTGTGGCCATCTAAATGCTAGGCGTGTTTTAAATTCATTGCCTAGTCTCTCTGTATGATCACTGGAAAAGAGGAGCACCTGCAGAAGAGCCAATCCCTAAAATAACCGGGGTGAATTACTCCCTGAAATGTACCCCTCTTTCCGCATTGATTCTTTTTAAAGATGTCAAAAATTGTCTTAAGCCAGATGTCTATTTTTGAAAAGTTTAATATCTAGCCTGAAGTGTACACACAAATGCAAAATGAGCATCCCAGTCTTAGTCTAAGAGAGGGATTTGAAAATTAGAACGAGAGAGTATCAATAGCATCATGCACCTTGGTAAGCCAAAAACTGGCTCTGGAACACCGTTAATAGGAAAAGTTTTGAAATATTTTGTAATATTTGTATGTTTAATACGCATTTAATCATCTTCTAGTACACTGTTTCTAGAAGAAAGAATTATGTAAACTACATCCTGATGTCCTGAACTAAAATTCAGGTGAGATTCATCTGACTAAACAAATGCCTACAGTGCAGACATTACAGCTATCTGTCTGTGCCAGGCATGGTACATTCTCCTTATGTTGTTAATAGAATTAAAAAGGCACTTTCAGGCCTTGTCCAAGAAATAAGGGACTGTAGAGACATAGGAACTCATTTTCAGATTGCCACAGCAGAGAATGGTTAACTAACACTTCACATATTTCAGAAAGCAGATTGCCTTCATTAGTCTCAGCTTCTAACTTAGTCACTGCTCCGAGATTAACAAAAGTTTTGTTACAAAGGTCATAACTGAGTAATTTTACTTGCATGACCATCTAAAAGCAAGTTCCTTAAATGAATAAAAAAGATATTTTATTCATTAAGTTACTCATTGTAGCTTAGTGCTAGCTGGCAATCTCCCTCTTATAAGGGTGATTTATTTAAGGTGTCTATATTTTTCTCTGGAGAACCAATACAGTGAAGTAAACTTCTGAGAACTTTTATCGCTGAGATAACATGTTTTGAAACTAACAGTCAAGGAAAATACTTGTTGTAACATAGGACCTTACATGGACCTTTGGACAATATAATTAAATTATTCCAGGGACATATGTTGCTTTAAAGTGCCCATGTTCAAGGCAAAAGCAGAAGACATTTTTTCTAAGCAAAATTGATGGGTTTTTTCCCTTACCTCCCCATAGATTCTGAATTTTATAGGCCACATCATTAAATCATTTTCTAGTAGTAGTCTAAGCACTGCCATATCCAGGGATGTGTGATACTGTCACTGAATTTGTGGTGGTAAGACCACTGGCAGAAAATTATATTCAACTTGTCTTCTACACTTTAAAAGAGAATTGTAAGTGCCAAGGAAACACTCAAGAGTTTGCTTTTAAAGTAAGATCTTTTAAAAACAGATCATTAAGACCAATCAACATTTGAAAGCAAACTTTTTCAAAGAATGTACTATGTTAGTTTTCACTTACTTAATCTAAACTTTCATTTTCATAGGAATTATGTTCTCAGAACTGTTCAATAGCACAAGCCTTCAGAACATGGTAAATTCCATTTAATCTGTAATGTCCTTCATTACACCTTATCTATGGGAAGATCAGCTAATGTGTAAATAATGAATAAGCAAAGACTATTCAGCAATAAATGCATCACACAAGTGATACATTAACCAGTCTTGCCATTAAGTGACTATACTACACTTAAATAGTTAAAACGCAGAAAATACTAATTGATAAAGGACATTCTGCTGTCCTCAAAGGTTCTCACGGTACAAACATTTTGAAGTAAATGCAGTTTATCTTTATACTACTATTATTTAAATAAACAAACATGAATTATTCCTAGACACTGACTTTAAAGCAGTGAAATGTGAATAAATGAGATCAAACCATTTCTAGCAATGCTTAGCACTGAGCTCTGGCAAACAGTTTCAAACTTTCTAAGTAAATATTTTCTCAAGTGGAACTGCAAACAGATTGGTCACCAACACTTAGACTACAGATAGTCCTTTACCTTGGGCAAGCCTGTTGTTCCAGATGTATACAGAATATAAAGGGGATGGTCTGAGGGAACGGAGACGCATCTATAACACTGTGCTTTTGCAAGCTCTTCTTCCCAGTCAAGATCACGACCTGGGGCAAGAGGAACATGGCCCTGCCCATTGAAAAACAGAAAAGTGTCGAAAGAAAAACAGATGGAATAAATGGAAATTAATGAAAAAACGGGTACTATTCAATTTTCTGTACAGTAATCTCTCTGTTGCGTTACTTCTACTTACTATTTAAATCTTATGAATATAGAGTTCCCCCATAAAATTAAAAAACAAACTACAACAGATACACTCAAAATTTTACTTTTAAATGAGAAAAGGCATGTGCATTACATACACACCTGAAAGTTAACATAAAGGCACAAAAACTGTACACCCACCAGATTAGGTCGCTTGTAAATGAGAACTTTATCAGGTTGGCTCTGTACCCTTGCCAATGCTCCTTCTAGGAGGGATATGTATTCCACTTTCCTTTTCGGTTCTATTCCAAAACTTGCTGTTACAATAAGTTTCGGCTAAAATAAAGAAGTTTGACTGTTAATATATACATTTGCAATATATTTTATACATGTAACCTAGTAACATGTTTTCCATTAAATTCTTTGGTTAAAGATGCTCGATGTATAAAATCTATCTTCACATAATTAGAAACTGGGGTTTAGATCAGTTTTCTAAGGACATCGAGCTTATGTGATCTTGCTGTCCATGCATCTGGTTTTTGTTCAGGAGCACACAAATAACTTCTGACACTTTTCACCATTTTCAACCAAATTTGAGTAAGAAACAAACAGTACTAAGTTCTTGTAAACTGCACAAAAAGTAATGAACAGAGAGAAAAACCCATCTCCATCTTAGCCCCTCCATTAAGGAAAAGTGATGCAGTGATGTCAACAATTATCTGTCCTGTTTAGCCTGCTTTCTAATTATCTGCCTGCGCCCAATGGCATATTTCAAAACTAGCTGTAGGATTTTGCTGGCTCTTTTCCAGTCTACAGGTAAATGGCAAGGGAGGGAAAAAAGGAAAAAGAGGAAAAAGAAGGCAAACAATAGATGACAGGAAACTAGACATACAGGAAGAGAATAAGCTAAAGTCCTGAGGCACATGAGGGAAGCACAGCTAGAGTATTTCAAGTGATGGTTGCAGGATTTAGGATGCAAAACCACTAAAACTCAGAATTCCATAGTTCTGGGGTTTTTTTAGAATAATTTCTGTTTCCAAATGTGGATTTAGCATCTTTGTGATTAAATTAACCTCAGGTTTTATGTAAGATTTCCTAAGTCAAGAAATCTGCATGCAAACTATTTTGACTTGGGTCCCAAGATCAGTATTTTTCTTTCTTGTATTTCAGGAAATAAAAGGTAGCACCAAAGAAACTATGTGTTAGAACACATTTTAATTGGAGAAAAATGAGTCTTCAATACCCTTGCTTTTGGAGTTTTAGAAGTATATTTATCTTATGCCCCTCGCTTTGATCAAGCGAGTTTACTAATTGTATGCATTAGCATAAATCTCATTAAGTAGGCACAAACCACAATGCCACAGTTAAGGCTGCATTAAACTCAGCACAGAAAACACAGATTAAATTATTTTCTTGTGCAATAATAAAATGTTTCTTGTCCAAATATGCCATTCAGGGAAGTTTGTTAATTAGTGTGTATTCAAAATAAAGATTTCAGATGAGCTTTAAAATTTCAGCATTTGTCATCCTTCTCTTTTGGGATGCACTGATTTTAATAAAAGATGATACAATACAATCCAGTTAAACTGAAAATTCACCTGGAGGCTACCCTGAAATTAGACTGTAATTAATACAGGATATTAACACAGTTCTGTTCAATTGTTAAGATGAAAGACTGTTGTCAACACCAGGTTTACAGTCATTTGTTAATGGTGCCACCTCTGCTCATCAACTGCTTTGTATGCAGTAAGGAAGTCTAAAAATAACCACTACTAAATTGGCTAAGGTGATGCATTTCCCAAGTGAGGGCTGCCACTTGGAAGCATCATGGATCACTCTGTGCAAATCAAAGGTCCATTACTGGCTTTAACTGCTGTTTTCTAGTGGTTTAACTCTCTGCCTATTCCCATATTGCTTTTATACACCCATTTCACATCTCTTCTGTGGCTCCATGTAGTCCTGCATGGTAAAATTAGATAGAAATATAACTAGTTTGAAGGAAAACCAGGAAAGTTCAAAGGTCTGATGGAGAAGGAATGCCAGCGATAGTGAGCTGTAGGGGGGAAAAAAAAAAAAAAAAGTAGAAATGAGATAAAGCAAGGCCCAATAGTACCAGACCAACAATTTTATTTTGTTGTAAAGATTCCTCCTACAAATTCTTCGAGATCTTTAATAGCATATGAGGCAAAGTTTAGAAAAAGCATTATACATTTTATTGGGCCAGCTAATAAAGCTGCAAAAAGCCCAAATTGAAAACCAAGCATGAGGGCACAAAATGTCAGGAGTGTCATGAAGATATTTCCTGAGAGATCCAGCACTCTTCATGCCCCAGCCACACATCTGATCACACACCTATGCTCAAACTTACTGCACTTTTGTTGTCCCTCACTCCTCCTTAAAAAGAGTTACATGCATTTTAGAGAAATCCAGTGCTTATGCAGTCATTATATAGCTCTGCTGCGCCTGCTAGGACTGCACTGGCTTTGTGGTTAGAAGATACATGTCAGACTGCCATGCACATTAAGTTTTGCCAGATATTATACACTGCTCTAAAGAAAGACCTGTATCATACTGTATAAGCAGTTAAAAATGAAAAACAAGATAGTGCCTTCTAATCTACAATACATATTCCAAAAATAAACACTGCTTCAAGACAAGAAAAGGCTGGACTGCAACTATTATAAGGCAACTGTGCATCTTAAGTACCAGCAGCTGAGCTTGCTGCCTAATCACTCAAAAGGTTTGATCACGTTATGATGAGAAGTAGGGGTAACCATTCATAGCCATACCTGTGCACAGGAACGATGTCTTATTCAGAATAAACTATTACAAAATATAAGCTCACTTTTTCAAGAAGGTCTTATTAAAATTTCCAAATGTGTCTACTGCAAATAAGTGAAGAATATAGTATTTCTGACCTCAATGAAAGATAGTAAGTTTTGAGTAATTTGGGTGTCTCATACACTTTGTATTTCAAAGAATTGTTGTTCACTTGTAAATCATAATACTGCTCTAGTGAAGTGTCTTCAAAAAACACGACTGAAAAACTCCATTACTTGTATTTTGTTTTGCAGGGTTTGAACTTAAAATCTAAAAAGTCCTCTGGAATTGCTATACAATTATTGTGATCGAAAAAACACAAGCAAATTTGACTATTGATGACATAGCAATCACACTATTAAACAGATGTATAAGTATATTGTTCTTAAGTAGCCTTCTCAGTTTTCCTAGTTTATTAAGATAAAGTGCTTAAACAGATGTCATGTTAATTTCTCAAAATGTCCTTTTCCATCTGCTGGAAAAGCAGCACGGCAAGCTGTAGGCAATCCAGGAGACTCCTGGAATTCATTCAGGGTAACTTCTTAAGCCAGGTAATAGACAGCCCTACCTGAGGGGATGCGATACTGGACCTGTTGGTCACCAACACTAGTGAGCTAGTCAGTGACATCAATACTGGAGGCAGCATGTGCTGCAGTGATCATGCATTGATGGAGTTCGCAGTCCTAAGGGATATGGGTCAGGCAAAGAGTAAAGTCAGGACCCTGAATTTTAGGAAAACAAAATTCTAGCTGTTCACGGAGTCAGTCAATAGGACCACCTGGGAAACTGCCCTCAGGGACACGGGTGCAGAACAGAGCTCACAGATCTTTAAGGATGCTTTATGTAGAGCACAAGAGCTCTCAATCCCCCTGTTTAAGAAATCAGGAAAGGAAGGCAAGAGTCCGGCATGGCTGAGTCAAGACCTGCTGGTCAAACTAAAGGGCAAGAAAGAGATGCACAGGCAGTGGAAGAAGGGAAAGGTATCCTGGGAAGAGTATAGGGACACTGCCCGGTTGCGTAGGGATAGGGTCAGGAAGGCCAAGGCACAGCTGGAGCCGAACTTGCAAGGGACGCAAAGAATAATAAGGGCTTCTACAGGAATGTCATCATTCAGGGTAACTTCTTAAGCCAGGTAATAGACAGCCCTACCTGAGGGGATGCGATACTGGACCTGTTGGTCACCAACACTAGTGAGCTAGTCAGTGACATCAATACTGGAGGCAGCATGTGCTGCAGTGATCATGCATTGATGGAGTTCGCAGTCCTAAGGGATATGGGTCAGGCAAAGAGTAAAGTCAGGACCCTGAATTTTAGGAAAACAAAATTCTAGCTGTTCACGGAGTCAGTCAATAGGACCACCTGGGAAACTGCCCTCAGGGACACGGGTGCAGAACAGAGCTCACAGATCTTTAAGGATGCTTTATGTAGAGCACAAGAGCTCTCGATCCCCCTGTTTAAGAAATCAGGAAAGGAAGGCAAGAGTCCGGCATGGCTGAGTCAAGACCTGCTGGTCAAACTAAAGGGCAAGAAAGAGATGCACAGGCAGTGGAAGAAGGGAAAGGTATCCTGGGAAGAGTATAGGGACACTGCCCGGTTGCGTAGGGATAGGGTCAGGAAGGCCAAGGCACAGCTGGAGCCGAACTTGCAAGGGACGCAAAGAATAATAAGGGCTTCTACAGGAATGTCAGCCAGAAAAGTAAGGTCAAAGAAAGCATACTCCCCCTGATGAACAAGACTGGCAAACTGGTAACAATGGACGAGCAGAAAGCTGAGGTACTCAACAACTTTTTTTCCTCAGTTTTCACTGGCAACCTCTCTTCCCACACCTCTTGAGTAGATGGACTGCAAGACAGGGACTGGAGGAGCAAAGCCCCTCCCACTGTAAGAGAAGATCAGGTTCATGACCACCTGAGGAACCTGAATACAGAAGTCTATGGGATGTGACAAGATGCATCCCAGAGTCCTGAAGTAATTGGCTGATGTAGTTGCCAAATAGCTCTCCGTGATACTTGAAAAGTCATGGCAGTCAGGTGAAGTCCCTCATAACTGGAAAAAGGGAAACATTGCACCCATTTTTAAAAAGGGTAGAAAGGAGGATAAAAAAGGTAAAAAGGAGGACCCTGGGAACTACCAACCTGTCAGCCTCACCTCTGTGCCTGGGAAGATCACAGAACAGATCCTCCTAGAAGCTATGCTAAGGCACATGGAGGACAAGTACGTGATTCTAGAGAGCTAGCATGGCTTCACCAAGGTCAAGTCCTGCCTAACCAACCTAGTGGCCTTCCGTGATGGAGTGACTACATCACTGGGCAAGGGAAGAGCTACGGATGTCATCTATGTGGACTTCTGTAAGGCCTTTGACACAGTTCCCCACAATATCCTTCTCTCTAAATTAGAGATATATGGATTTGATGGGTGGACTGTTCAGTGGATGAGGAATTGGTTAGATGGTCACATCCAGAGAGTAGTGGTCAATGGCTCAATGTCCAGATGGAGGTCCATGACAAGTGGTGTCCCTCAGGGGTACATATTGCGACCAATACTGTTTAACATCTTAATCAATGACATAGGCAGTGGGATTGAATGCCCCCTCAGCAAGTTTGCCAATGACACCAAGCTGAGTGGTGGCGTTAAGAAGCCTGAGGGACCTGGACAAGCTTGAGAAGTGAGCCCATGTAAACCTCATGAGGTTCAATAAGACCAAGTGCAAGGTCCTGCACGTGGGTCGAGGCAATCCCAAGCACAAATACAGGCTGGGGGATGAAGGGATTGAAAGCAGCCCTGCCAAGAAGAACTTGGGGTGTTGGTGGATGAAAAGCTGGACGTGAACTAGCAATGTGCACTTGCAGCCCAGAAAGCCAACCACGTATTGGGCTGCATCAAAAGAAGTGTGGCCAGCAGGTCGAGGGAGGTGATTCACCCCCACTGCTCTGCTCTCGTGAGACCCCACCTGGAGTACTGTGTCCAGCTCTGGAGCCCCCAACATAAGAAGGACATGGACCTCTTGGACAAGTCCATGGGAGGGCCACAAAGATGATAAGAGGGCTGGAATATCTCTCCTACGAAGAAAGGCTTCGCCAATACTTGACAAGAGTAGAAATTATCAGCTGCAGGACTTTGCAGCATTCCCAGACTTATTTAAAATTTAAGATAAATTAACGTAAGATGGTACAGTATATGTACCTTTTCAAAGTCACTAGAAAGTGCTTGTTATTTCTTTCACTTAGATCTTCCAATAAAATGTGAAGTTTGACCTTTCTACCACAAGAGCATCTCTCAGCCAGCTTTCCATTGCACGTCTTTAACTCTTTCTAATTAATCTTACCAACATTAGGTCCTGTATGGCAGCACCTAAACCAATTCACATAAAAGCCTAAGAGAAAGGCTAGGGTTTTTTGAGACTGCTTCAATTAACTTCTGAGTTCAGCAGAATACCATATATCACAGCTACTTATACACATATCTTAAAGATAATCTCAATGGCGTGCAATTCACTTATCAAGAAAGCTTTACTGTATTGCAACATGGGTGCATATTTTGATATTCAGATATCTCCTCTTTAGTTACACTTTCATTACACATCAGATGGACCAAAAATCATCCACAATATTTAGATTTGCCTCTTAAAGAAACAAAAAGGCAATGTAAATTAGGATTTAATCCATGACCTGCAGCTAATAATTCTATAGCTAACCTTTCGAAAGACTCGCTATGTGACCTTGGGTAAATCACTTAAAACTTTCTCCATTTTCTTTGTAATGCATGAAGCAAGGATTATGATTACTATGTTCTCTCCCTTTGTTCCTCAGAGAAAATCCATTGGGGTTAATTAGTTAATATTTGCAAAATACTCTAGAAGTAAACATGTTAGATTATTTGTATTGTAGCAACATTAATTTTAAAAGTTTATCATTTTTTCTTCTACATTATTTTTCCCTAATTCTATGAGTTAAAATCAATTTTTATAGCTTGTTAAAAAAGTGGGGGAGTGGGAAGAAAGACAGAGAAAACTATGGAGCTGTTGTTAGCCTTCCCCCAGCTTCTTTTTTCACAATTACAACAAACCTTTTCAGCCACTTTATTAACTTCTTTGTTAAAACACCAAGGCAATGAGGGGGGATGCATTCAACTTCCTATTTACAGATATTCACAAAGTTCAAGCCTTGGTGATCTGAAAAGCACTTTTGTACACAAAAATCTAAGTAAATGTTCCACAAATCCTGTGGACTTTACCCTGCATAATGTTTTGGCTTATATGCCTAATCAATGAGATTCAGTGATAGATGGCTACCATGGATGGTCTGAATGATCCAGGTGACTGATCAAGATGACAAAGACTTTTGTCTTGTTCACTGGTACAAAACAAGAACAGAAACTTCCAGTACAAACATTGTTAGCTGGTTTGAAACTAATGCATACGCAAGCAACTAATATGCACATATAAGCTACTAAGTAGATTATTAAAGTACTATTTGCATTTTTACTTACTAAGACTTACATAATGCTTCATAAACAAGCTCAAGTTGTGCCAAACTTGGAAGCCTTTAAAGCATTCACCTCTATTAATTATGTTCTCTGCAGTCATTTACTTACGGCAACTGGTTCCCTAGCTGCCTTGATTCATGTAGAAATTAGATGAAGTAAATTTATAGCTGAAAAAAGTACTATCTGTCTAAATATCAAGTAAACTAACGAAGTCATTTAGGGTTGGCAGCATTTTCGTCATACACTTGAAGCAAATGCTGGGCAAAAAGCCAATTTTAAGGTGATGCTTTGTAGAAAAAGATTGATAAATGGGAGAAGACAGTATGCTCTAAACAGACAGCAGCATGTTAAACTCATGCTTTTTAAAAAGAGGTAAAAATTTGTATCTCAATGTTTGCAATAAAAGTATCACCCTCAGCACAGAAGTAGTACTTGGTTCATATTGCAATGCTAGGCATTATAAACAAACTGAAACTGTGTGCCACACAAAGAGAAATGTTGTTATCCTCTCTGGAAAAAAAGGGGGTTTGACATTGACTTATATGATTAACTAATGCAATGGTGTTTGTTGTTCCAAATATGTATTACCTTTGCATGATCAATGCGAACAGAAAGTTCTTTAGATGCAAATCCACCAAAAATCAGGCTATGGATGGCTCCTATTCTTGCACAAGCCAGCATACAGTACACAGTCTGTGGAATCATGGGCATGTAGATGACCACACGATCTCCTTTCTTCACACCATGTCTGACCATGACATCAGCTAACTTGGAGACCTGTACTGACAAAATATTCACAACGTATTAACAGTTTCTCCAGATTTCCTGTTGCCCCATAAAAAAACCCACACTTTCACAAAATCAACAGACACAAGACATTAAGGAGACAAGCTAGCATGATACAGAAAGTTGATGAATGATGCAATCCAGGTTCAATACATTTAGAACAATTACCTTTCTGCAAAAAACACTGTAATACATTTTTCTTTTGTAAAGTGAGAATGGACTGAAGCTAATTATTTTACACATTAGAGCAAAAAAATCAATAGCAATGTTTTGCAAATTTTTAAATAACACTAACCACTCATTCTTTTATCCTGATAACTGTTTATATTTCTCAATTTTAGCTTTTGAGAATGGATGTAAACAGGGCATTTCACAATGCAAATTCTGTCCTAACTAGCTAAGTTTGAAATACGAATTCTATGAAATCAGTACGTAGTCATATTTTCTCTACTACAGTATTGTAAACTTCTCAGAATCAGAGAAAAAAAATCTTACACCTCGAACCAAATGTAAATACATATTCAGAGACATATGTTTAGATTTAAGAAGTCATTTTTCCTCTCATTTTCAGATTTTCATTTTTGGTACGCAGAAGCTTGAAGATAGACTGTGCATGGCAGCAAAGGACTGAAACTCAAGAAATGTGACAGATCAGCAGCAGTGTCAGCCATCTGTATCACCATGAGAAAATATTTATTACATCAACAGTGTATAGCATTCTGTCACAAAACTAGTATTGAATGTTTCATTAGTACACCAGGATGGACAATTTACCACATAGTAAGTTCTGTCAGAGTGAGCATGGGAGCCCATGACAAGCGCTGTGCACTTGTCTCAACCTGCTTGTTGCAGCATGGAAATGTGGCGTCTTCTGAGGGAAAAGCAAATTACTAACTCCCCAAGAGCAACTGAATGAACTCAGCTGTCAAAGGCTTCTCAAGTTCCAGAGGCTGACAGCTGTATAACACTCAGTACCTAAACCTGCTCACTGCCTTTAAATTTTTCAATTAGACATCAGTGTGTAGAGGTGTATATTACTTACTACCTGATCTCCTTCTACGACAAGGTGGCCCACTTAGTGGATGGGGGGAAAGCTGTGGATGTTGTTTACCTGGATTTTAGTAAAGCCTTCAACACTGTTTCCACAGCATTCTCCTGGAGAAACTGGCTGCTTATGGCTTGGATGGGTGTACTCTTCACTGGGTAAAGAACTGGCTGGAGGGCTGGGCCCAAAGAGAGGGGGCGAATGGAGTTAAATCCAGTTGGCGGCCAGTCACAAGTGGTGCTCCCCAGGGCTCAGGATTGGGGCCAGTTCTCTTCAATATCCTTATCAACGACCTGGACGAGTGGATTGAGTGTACCCTCAGTAAGTTAGCAGACGACACCAAGTGGGGCAGGAGTGTTGACCTGCTTGAGCGTAGGACAGCTCTACAGAAGGATCTGGACAGGCTGGATCGATGGGCCGAGGCCAACGGTATGAGGTTCAACAGGGCCAAGTGCCAGGTCCTGCACCTGGGTCACAACAACCCCATGCAGTGCTACAGGCTTGGGGAGGAGTGGCTGGAAAGCTGTCCAGCACCAAAGGACCTGGGGGTGTTGGTTGACAGCCAGCTGAATATGAGCCAGCAGTGTGCCCAGGTGGCCAAGAAGGCCAACAGCATCTTGGCTCGTATCAGGAATAGTGTGACCAGCAGGTCTAGGGAAGTGATCATCCCCCATACTCGGCACTGGTGAGGTCCCACCTCAAATACTATGTTCAGTTTTGGGTCCCTCACTACAAGAAGGTCATTGAGGTGCTGGAGCATGTCCAGAGAAGGGCAACAAAGCTCATGAAGGGTCTAGAGCACAAGTTTTATGAGGAGCAGCTGGGGGAACTGGGATTGTTTAGTCTGGAGAAAAGAAGGCTCAGGGGAGACCTTATCGCCCTCTACAACTACCTGAAAGGAGGTTGTAGAGAGATGGGGGTAGATCTCTTCTCCCATGTAGCAAGTGATAGCCCAAGAGGAAATGGCCTCAAGTTACACCAGAGGAGGTTTAGATAGGATATCAGGAAAAAGTTCTTCACAGAAAGGGTTGCCAAGCATTGGAACAGGCTGCCCAGCGAAGTGGTGGAATCGCCATCCCTGGAGGTATTTTAAAAGATGGCTACACATGGTGCTTAGAGACATGGTTCAGTGATGGTTTTGGCAACATTAGGTTGATGATGGTTGGACCTGATGATCTTAAAGGTTCCTTCCAACCTAGACAATTCTGTGTTTCTAAGTAATAGAGGTAAAACTGCACGTAACTGTGCACAAAACATAGGCTAACAGGTTAACAGGAAAAACTGTAGACTAAGAAGAAACAAAGTAGACTAATAAGCTAATGGAAAAAAGGATGGAAGTAGAAACAGCCCAGGAAGTCATGAACTGGAATACTCCATAAGTATGGCTACATGCCAGTCAGACATAACAAGAACAGGAGCTTTGCTTGCAATAGTTTTACGTTAGTAGTAAGACTAAAAAGTCAAATTCTCTAGAAAGTTCTTGGGATATCTGAAGACATATAAATCTAAGTTCAGAACAAAGAAGTTGCTCTGTCTTACAGGGGAACTCCTTGCCTACAGTAGTAAAACTCTTCTTTAAGAGGTTGCCATTCACTAGAAAACACTACAATAAACATAAGAAGTTTAAACATTCTAATTTCTTTCATTATCAATGTAACATGAATCTACTCATACATGAATTCCTCACATCTTATCTGCACTGCATTATTCCTTATTTATTCATTATATCACATAGATAAGGTTTCAAGTAAAATTTAGTCTCGTGAAAGACTCTTCTCTTCAGGTACTATCAGACTGGACAGAAAGAAAAGGGGAGACAAACTCAGGAGAGCAGCAGAGGGATGTTGCCTGTAGAACAGAAAATACCCAAGCTTCTGAAGCAGTTAGAGATGTTTTCAGAGGCCCAGCAAATAATGAAAGCAATGGGAGCAGCCCAGGCCAATAATATACATTGTGCAAGCAGGACAAGAGGAAAGAATGATCTTTTTCAAGGATGAGCTAGTCAGGAGGGTAGATTTTCTTTGAAATGTTTTACTTTCATTTATACTATTCATCAAATTTGAGTTTTCTCTTTTTAAAGAGTTACCTTATTCTAGTTCAATGCATCAAATTCTAATACCACTGTTACTTTGTGAGATTTGTAGGCATTAGGCTCTTTCTTTTATGGTCATATTCAATAAAACTTGGGGCACTTACATCCAGTCCTAGAAGCCTATCTGATGCATGTGCTGAAGAGGATAACGTAGCATTACTCACTGCTTCTCTCTTCAGTGGGAACACATGTTCAGACTTTCAGCAACCTGAGACATCCAGAAGCTTCAGATGCATCTGACCTGTGTTTGCATTAAATACACAGCTCATCCACAATCAAACTATGCATATTTCTACACTTCTGCCTGAGGATTTAAGAAAATGGAAACACAGAAGGCCCAAGCACGCACGCTTGCATCAGAAGATAACAGCATAGCTTCCATTTTTTTATAAAGAAAGCATAAATCCCTGCCATTATTTTCAGCTGCAAGAGAGAACATGTTTATAAGGCAGTCATCACCATACCAAGCGGAAAACTCACACAAACTAAGGTATGTGTATGATTTATTTGTAACAGATATTTTACATTAAATGCTACTGATTATCAAAATAAATTATCTTTGACTCTAGATCTATTAATAACTATCAACACTCTATGAAGCTGACATACGCTATCAAAACCCCCAAAAAATCAACAAGGCCTGGACATGTACACAACTAGAATTGCCATACCACCAGCATTGACAGTCACTTCTACAAACGACTGGTGAAAGTAATTTTAAGTAAGGATAACAACTCTACTCCAAAGGTAAATTCCTTTTCTATACTTCCTACTGTGAAAACATTAAAATCTGCATAGTCATTACAGAGCTACCATCACCTTACCTCAAAGAACTGAGAAGACTAATCCTTTGCCGCTTGTGACACTCTCAAGCAGAGTGTTGACAGAAAGGCTAGAGGCAATGAAAGTAATATTTAGTGAGTGATTTTATAGCCGATATAAGTGTGGATAATAGGCAATAAGTAGTGAAACACAATGGACAAGTATTATCATTATTTTATAATTATTAATGATGACAAAAAAAGGCAATGTTTGCCTGCTAAAGAAAAAAGGCATCATTTAAATATAATAATTAGTAATTTTGTAATAAAAAACTCCTAGTGCCTGTATATAAGCTATATAACTTTGGTACTTGGCTGTAGGAGGGAGACAGTGAAGAGATCTGCATGTGCTTAAGTCATTTTCATTGAAACCTATCATAGGTAAATATACAGAATAGGCAGAATATACATAGCATGCTGCAGGCAGGAACCACGTCTTCCATGCAAACCCAGCACTCACTTGTCTGCACTTAACCTCCCCACCCTAGAGAGTTTAATGTCACTGAAGACAATAACCCAATATAATACATGGGTATCTATGATTTTCCTTGTGCCCTTTCCCTAATCATTCTGACAACCTGGGAGCATTTGCACAACATAATAGATAATAAAACACTGTCTCTATCTGCAACTATTTGGATGACTAGGGAACATCATAGAGCAGGTTTATATTGCCCTTAAGATTGATGTGGAAACCCTGAAACATCCAAGCAATCACTCAAAGGAGGGAGAGGGGGGGAGTGATTAGTGACATTTCATTAAACTGTTAAAAGCCATGAAACCTTCCACTTTGTTACAGTGTGTTGTCATTTATGGTTTACATTAAGACAGCATACTTTATCACTCAAGATTTTACAGTTGCTATTTTCCTACCAGCATGCTATTTCTCTGCTTTTCTTCAAAGTTTAAGATTGCACTATCACTTTAATATATTTGACACTTCAGTAATAAAATCACTTGAGACGAAGTGATATAATAAGAAACTGAAGTAGGCTTTCAGCTTTGAAGATCTGGGCTTAAATTACACTTCTAT